TGCGCACACACGCACGCGCATTCTATAGATGGTAGGGATCTTATTTTTTTTCTTTCACAATAAATTATCTAGCACCCACTGATCTGCGTTGTCACCTGTGCCTTTTATCAAGTTTCCACAAATTTGCGGTTCTCTTAAGAGGTCCTTGTTTCATTAAGCCTCTTGTCGACCTCTCTGTTAAAACGACACTGTCTTAGTTAGACTAGCTTTATAATGTAAGTTTTGACAGCTCTGTTGGGCATATCTTCTCACCCTTTCCGTTGTTTAAAACTATCATGGTTATTTGGCCCAAAAGCATTTTAGAATCACTGTCGATTCATGAAAAATCCTTTCAGAATTATTATTATTATGTGATTGCATTGAATTTACATACTAACTTGGGCAAAGTGACATCTTTTCAAATATTGAATTTTCCCTTTTATGGACATGCTATACCTCTATTTATTTAGGGTTCTTTTTATTACTTTTGTGTACAATTTTACAATATTCTCCACCTTGGTGTTATGTATCTCCGGTTATAGATATCTTTAATACTTCGTTTGTGGAATCTCTAGAAGTTGTTATTGCTGTTTTCAGTGGGGTTTGACTACAGTATAATGTTGTAGTTGAATCTGAACATCAATCTTATATCTAGAAAATTTACAAAACTCTTACTAGTGCAATTAGCACTAATAATTCTGATACCATTAATCTATCTGTCTAAAATTAGTTTTTAGCTTTCATGGTTGAAGAGTCAAACAGCTCGACAAGTTCTATAGATTAAAACTGGAGTCTCCCTAACCTCCCAGCACTTTCCGACTCCCAGATGCAACCATTTTTCACTCTTTTAACTCATCATTTTAGCTTTTACTGCCAGATCCCATGCCCATATTGTGACTTCTTGACTTCTAACTCTTAGGGACTTTTTAATCGACTTCCTACTGTGGAAGTTGGGGATATCATGTTCTGTTCCTCATGACCTCATTCCACATGTGCTCACTTTCTTTTCCCCATCACTCTAACATGATTATGATTTTGGAGAACTTAATACTCAGTGTCTACGTTATAATGACTGTGAGATTGCCATTTACAGCTGAGGGTTATAACATTCCCAGCTTTGACTTATTTTCATCCTCATATGTATGTTTCTGTAACCACCACCACGGTGAGGATGCAGAACATTCCAGGATGACAGAGGTCTTCCTTGCACTACCCCTTTGCAGTGAAGTCCACCCCCACCAAACTAAACCTCTGGCAAATGCCAATCAGTTCTCTCTATATACAT